AGGGAATTACGTTAATTTGCTACCTAATAACCAATTCACTGAAATTAGCTGTTATACTTTCTGAAAACAGCAGGAAACACAAACAAAACCCAATAATTATGCAATAAACCTTACATTTGATATAGAGCCTTTCATGAAAGGAAGATGTTTCAAAGCACTTCACAGGATTTACAGTAAAGTGAAGTAACTAAATTTTGTAGATGAAAATGGCAGCCTATTTGCACACAGAAGTTTCCTTCTCTAATAGTTTTATGGGATCTTTAATCATCCAAAGAATGGCACCTTCATCAATGCAATGCTTCCACCCCAGCATTGTATTGGAGTGCCAGGCTAGACTGAGTTCAAAGTCCCAATGTGGGGCTTGAACCCACAACCTTCTGTCTCTGAGGCAAGAGTTCTGCCAACTGACTTAGGCTGACACACATCCATAATTTTAACTTACTCTTCAAGATAAACTTTATTTTTGTCATTGATTTTATGGTGTCAATCAATTTTCACACTTATAATTTATTGAATCACGTTTCCGTGCTGGCTCATTGTCCAGAAACGCTATCGTTGAATTCTGTTCCCAAAGTAAGTTAAAGTGAATATCCCACCAGATTTTACTGCCTCCATGTTATTTTTACCCAAAACTGCCATGAGGTCCCCCTTTCCCCTGTGGTACTAAAGCCTGTCCAGCTTAATGTCATCCAACATTGCATTCTTCCAATGATACAGAGATGCTTGATGTTAGAAGCCTCCTGATTCCTAAAGCTATTTGTGTATGCTGCTGGAAACAACGTCTTATCCATTTCAAAAGTAGAGTGATTCCCAAGGGTAAAAGCCTTTTGGTTAAAACACTTACTTGCTAATATTCAAGATCACATGATAGGTTGGGATGAAGCCTATCAAACCATTTGAAATTTACAGATACTCATCCATTTCAGCATCAAATTGTTTCTGAAGTGCTCTAGCTCTACCAACCTTCCTGATAACTCATTAAAACTGCTGATCATCCTCTGTAAAGAACTACAACATGCTGACCTCTGTCTTAAAATTGATCTTTGCAATACTGTGCGTTTTGTGGTAAGTGACATATATGACAGTACAATGGAAATTTATAGGACTTACGAGGCACTATAAAACAGCAATCTAATCAAAACCATAAGAGTTTCTGTTTATTATCTGAATCTCTGAGATATTATTGTCTTTAACTCACCGAGAGCTATTGAAAACCGTATAAATACATTCCCGCTAGTGACTTTTTTTATATTATTGTGCTTTCCCGTGCTATATTACCGTTTGCCCACAAAACACTCGGGTCACACCGCTTTACAATACATGCTATGAGGCTCTTTGAGTTATCCCTCTGACGTGAAAGGCACTATACTAAATGCAACTATTATTGGTATTATTTATTGTATTCATTCAAAAGGAATTCTCAAAATAGTGGACAACAAACACCATAAGCTTGGATTTATATAGCAATCATTTTGGATAATGTCTCAGAGAATTTCACATGAGATTGGACACTGAGCAAATGAGAAGGGGGAGAAAGAGGTGATCATTGGTGAGGTTGAAAACGTAGAGTTTTAAGAGGGATTTAAAGACAGATTGGGAATTAGACAGTGGTGTCAAGGGAGGATGTTCCAAAAGATAGAGGCATAGTATCGACCATCAGCAGCCGTCCTTTCGGCCACTACGCCCCAAAGTTCTGGAACTCCCTCCCCGAATCCCTCCATATTTCCCCCTCCCTCCCCACTTTCAAATCCCACCTAAAGACCTTCCTTTTTGATCGGGCTTACTGTCACCACTGTCCTCCCTCTCCCCCGGCTCGGGGTCAGACTCCAGGACACTACCTGTTGTGAAGGGCGCTATATAAATGCAAGTTGTTGTTGTAATAGCTGAAGGCTTGGCCACCAATTATAGTACAGATGGGGCAGGAGACTCACAGCAAGGATCACGTTTGGTAGACTAATGATGCAGGATGTGAAGGTATGTCGGATTACTTGACACAACCCTTTTTTTCCCCAAAACATTACAAAAATACTGCTTATTTGATTATCAGAGAGCAAATTATTCTGCTTTATACCTGCAATGCTTTTATTGCTCTGTCATTAATATCCCCACCATCGCAAATAATTAATAATGAAGATTTCTCAGAGCAAGACAAATCTTAGTGGGTTTCAAATATTTTATAAATGCTTATATGATATATAAACAGGATTGCTGTGAGCAACGGATGCTCAATGCTCTAGAGCCGCAACATTTGCTAAATTGCTTCGAATGATTTAGATACTTTAGTCTGAACAAATTCAAAAATCTTTCTTATCCATTCATCTTTTAGATGCTTCATATCATAACCTGATCCTCTTCTGTTACCCCACTGAGTCATACGACACAGCAGATCATTGCTACAATATTCAGACTCACACAAACCTAACACATACAAACACAGGAAACCAAATGCAAACCTAATCTTTAAATGAAACAATATTTTTACTATCAAAAGGCAAGGCAGTAGCTGCAGACCTCAGACTAAAGTCTTTGATTCTTTGCATTCACAATAGTTCATATTTGTGACAGAGCCATTCAGCCAATCATTTGTATGCTGATAGCTTCCTTTCCCACTGGAGATATTTACTTTTATAAGTAACTCCAGTATTTACTCATTTCAGCTTCAACAGCCATTTACAAAGTATTCTACGTTCTAACATCCAAAATATGATAATACTGATAGCATTTGTTACTGATCAATCACTGAGAAAATCCATCTCTATTTCATAATTTTGAAAATCTCTATTGCATTAGCACCTTAACATTCTCTGCTCCAGTGAAAACATAATTCCAACTCTTACTCTTGGTATCAAACTAGAAGAATGTGCAGTCAAAGGATATGAGTTCAATACCCATTTATTAGACAGAATTGCTTCCAGATCTTCAAATATGTAATTTACCAACACTAAAATTAAACCAAACACATGCTGAAAGTTAGCACGAGTGTGCACGGAGAAATCATCACCATTATTGTTATAAAAGTTACTCAACAAGGTGGTGCCCTGAGATGTTAAATCTAACTTTTTAAAAATAAAATTGCACTTGCCTAGGGATAAAATTAACAGAACAAAAGCAAAATTAGAATTATCTTTTTTCAATCAGGTAAGATTGTTGCAATAAATGCATACATGAACACACATCAAAGAAACAGCATTACAGGCCGATAGCCTTGTCTCTTCTGAAGAGATTATTGGTCTATAACTGCAATAAATGTTTTAGATCCTTAACTCCAGTGCATGTTTCACGTCGGGACATCCTCCCAAAGTGAAAGGCGCATTACAAATGTAATTTTGTATTGTATTGCATGTTAAGTGATATTCATGATCGTAAAACCTTCAACAATTTTGTCATGAGATATATAACATTCTATATTGGTGAAATTAGATTTCATAAATCTTACTCATGGATATATTCACCCTGTGGTTAATCCAGGGTTAAACAATGGGCACTCCCTGCAGAGTACTTTCTCGGTCTGTGCATTTCTCCAAAGTTTATCAGTGACATCATCTATTCTTTGCAAGGTTAATCTTAGGATCAAATGTTTCAAGCATGCTTGAACTGAAAAAAAACTCTTTTGCTAAAGACATTAGCCAGCAAATTAAGTGGGATCCAACACACACCACTCACAGCAGTCAAGGCTATTAAAAAAATTGCATAGTGTGAGCATACAAACCATGTCCTATTGTATATTCCCAGCTAAGATTCCCATAATTAAAGTTGCAGTATCCATTTTCTTTAGTTTTTATAACTTTATAACTTTCACTGCAGGTAAGTTTTAATATCTCATTGCGTATAGTTTTCCTTATAAATTCTATCAGTTTTCAGCTAATCCTATTTATGATTTGAAAAGTGATACACAAGGTTGGGTGATGGATCAGCTACAACAACCTCAACAACTTGCATTTATATAGCGCCCACATGTAGAGTAGCGTCCCAGAACGCTTATGAAGCGCTCTGGGACGCTACCCTGCAGCTATGAATCATTACTATGAAGTGGAGTCCTGTAGCTTAGTGTTTAGAGCACTTGCCTCATAAGCGAGAGGACTTGGGTTCGATTCCCGGCAGGGCAAAATGTTGGGCAAGTTTCCTTACTCCACATGCCTCTGTTTTCCTAGCATTAAGTAGGAATCTGACTGTTAGTCGATTGGCAGATCGTTTTTCCAGGGATAATACCTTCAAAAAAAATTATTTGGTCACTTATTATTTGGCCATGACTGTTTGTGGGACACTGATGTGCGCAATTGGCTGCCGTGTTTTGCCCACAAAATCTACAATCAGTTTGCTTCACAGTATATTCTTTGAAGCACATTGAGAAGTCTAGAAAACGTGATAAGACACTATATCAAATGCAAGGATTATTATTATTATTATATTGTAACAAATTCTTTATTTAACATTGTTAGGAATTCACAGCTTGATTTGGATACTCTTAAGCATAGTGATGGGTTTCCACATGTATCCAGACACCTGTTTGATCAAAAAAAATTAGTGTCAGCCTGGCTCAGTTAGCGGCACATTTGCATTTGACTTGGCAGGTTGTGGGTTCGAGCCCCATGTCAGGGTGACGTTCTATTGCAATGCTGCAGAAAACTGTGTTTGCGGAATATATTGTATTATATTAGTGCTTATACTCTGAAGAAACAACAGTTTTACGCCTGATGTTTTCCTCCCATATTTAATTTGCACATATTTGTGAAGTACAGATACTGGGGTGGAAGTTTCCTATTTAGTTTCTGGATTATAGGTTTGGTGCAGTCATATGTTCAAAAACAGGGTTTTTATAGATACAAATATATATATGTTTTTAAAGGAAAAAGGTGATGACATCAAGAAGGTTAAATGTTTTTATGTTAGATCTGTATAAGTAATTAGTTTGAAGCCTGTATAACTAATCAATATGAATAAATATTCCTTCTAACATATCAAAATACCATAAACTTGATGTACTTATGTTTAAATATGTGTTCTTTAAAGTAATTTACCAACACTAAAATTAAACCATTGGTGAAGTTAATCTTTACTCTTCTATGGGTCAGATCTTTCAAGAAGATTGGCTGGTAACTCAAGCAATTGCTATGGTTGATTTCTACCACCGGAAAGCTCGAATCCCAAGTTGTCCAAAATAGTCTTCTTCACTTGCTGCATCACTGAATCCATGCAAGGTGCTTCATTTCAAAAAAAGCTGGATCACATCTGCTGGCTGCCCATTAGGCAGGCCATTATCAATGCAATTAGGTGTGTGTTCTTTGCTTCTTCACAATACAAAAAACCTTGGTGTGTGTATGTGTGTCTTTCTCTCAACTGAATAACGGAGCACGGTTTGTAAGCCACACCAGGGAGAAAAAAAGAGGTTAAATCAATCTCACAGGCAGTGCTGCTAGTTTTGAACTTTTAATTAATAAAACTGACAAATGATGGTTTGAAATGGATACTGCAGTTTAAAATAAGCAAATTGTAATTTTCCTATTTCTGATATTAAATCGGGATTTTCCAAGCAACAATGCTTACACCTGCTTACACCTATTTCAAACAGACTTAACAAGTCACATATGAATTAGTTTGTATCTGTGATGGATACAATTCAAGAAGTCAAAAGGCCTATGGAGAAAGCTGTACAACAAACACAGTGTTCATTTGGCTTTCAGTTACTTATTTCTAGAAACATTTACATTAGATTTTGGTGACCTGTAATGTTGTTTCGATGTACCACATGCATCACACTACTGCTTATTTATGTATAAAAACAATTAATTTTGCACTGTAATGCTGCCTTGGGGATAAGGCTTATTATGCTTGCATTCATTTAATACTGCATGCATGGATTTAATTGCTGAGGCATTTCAGGCTTCATTTCACTTTTGTCTGCCTTTACTGACCTCTGCTGGTGGTAACACTAAAATGTCCAGTGTCTGTAACGAGAAAAAAACACAAAAAATGTAAACATAGCACTACACCTCTTTTAGGCACAGTACTTGGGTAAGTCAGTTTAGTAAAAAATCAGGTTCACCATAACCAAACAGATTGAAATCTCCTTGGAAGTGAGCGTAGAGGCGCCTTACATCCCGCTTGCTGATTCCAGAGAAATATTGCTCCACCTTGGTTCTGTTATAAGCTGTAATACCAGGTGGGATTGAGGGATAAGATACCAAATCACTTATTCCTGCTTTCTTTAGAATGTATGGAGCATCCTGTTCCAGTGTTTCATGGTGTCCTATGACACTATACTTGATATCACAAGGTGCACAGAGCTCTACGTATGTTACCCAGTGGATAATGGGTTCTCCTATTTTAATATCCAGCCACCTGTGGTTAGGATCACCTAAATAGCGGACAAAGTCATCAAACTGGAGTCCTTTAGTTTCTGTGCGATTCTTTCGGTATTTCTGTATAATTGCAGGAGCAATGATATGTCTGTACCATGGCTCAAATCGAGGATTCTTTAGAAATTTGTCTTTGAATGCAGAAATAAGTCTTTCAAAGGGATCCCTTACAATGAAGAAGTTGAAGTATGTTTTTAATCTGAAAATAGCAAAAACAAAGGGCAACATTTTATTGACCTGGTATATTACATTCCAAAGTACTTCCTACAAATCCTTGAATAAAAATTACAGTCATGACCCAGTAAGCAAAATATTAACAATCATGTTCAATAGGTTAAGTTAAAATGGATTTTAAACGGATCATGTAATTAGGAAATGCTTCGTCACAAAAAATGAGGTAGAAAATAATTGAAATAGGTTTACTCCAACCTTTTTGTTATTTCTGATTCGCTAAATGATGATAAGCGTGGCAGACCATTCTTCTCATGATTATGAATCAAAGCCTCAGGAATGTCTTCAATAGATTTGAATGCTCCTGTGTAAAGACATAAAAATATACTAATTTAACAATTACCTTTCCTCTTCCAAATTCCAAAGTCTAGCATTTCACATGCTTCTCCAGCTGGGAAAGGAGGATGTTCTTAGTGACATCATCTATATCACTCCATAACAGCAACTGTTCTTTATTCATGGTGCACAACTGTACTGCAGCAGGGAAGGATTTACTGGCCCAATTCAAAACCATCAAAACAAAGCTAAGTGACAGTAAAGGCTTAAAGGCAGTCAAATTGAGGATTCAAAGCTCCGGTCTGCAGGATAGGAGTTCAGCGTTCTTACCTTTAGAGCTAGAATGTATAGCATTATCATAAGCTAGCTGCTAACTTTTATCCATTTTGCATTTGAAAGAGTAATAATATCTAAAAAAAATCTTCATATACTTGAAGCTGTGTGCATGTTTACTTTTGAGTGTAGATTTAAAATAAATTGGAGCACTGACATTTTCACAAAGCTTTCTACCTGCTGTGGTGCTGATGTAGATGCCAGACTGGCTCAGATGGCAGTACTCTCGCCTCTGAGTCAGAAGGTTGTGGGTTCAACCCCCACGTCAGGCCTTTGAGCTCAGTTTTAGGCTGACATTCCAATGAAGTGATGGGGAAGCGCAGCATAATCTGAGGTGTCGTCCTTTGGATGAGATATTAAACAGAGGTCCAGGATGCCTGTTCAGGTGGACATTAAACATCACGTTACTATGGAAAAAAAGAAGCGAGTTTCTCCCAGTGTCTTGGCCAACAATCAGCAAATAAAATTGTTTAATCATTTCATGGCTGTTTGTGGAACATTGGGATGGGGAAAGGGCAGGAAAATAGGCTGCAAGGATTGCTCTTGAGTCAGCACGATAGGCTGAATGGCATTCTTCTGTGCTGTAAATTTCTATGATTCTATTGCTTCAGTGTTCACCTAAAAAGAACAGTTACTATACTTTAAGAACATTGTGAAGTGCTTTGAGATGTTTCAATTTGGTAGGACACTATAATAATCCTTGCATTTGATATAGGGCTTTTACATTTTCTAGATGTCGCAAAGCACTTTATGGCATATACTAGAAAGTGAATTGACTTTATATTTGTGGGTGAAACACAAATATTATATTATAAGTGCAAGGATTATTACATTATGTACAGAACATTTATTTTGGGAGGCACATTATTGGAGATTGATGCAATTTTATTTTATTTTATCTAAAGGGGACTGGATCAACATTTGAAGAGGAAGAATATAAAAGTGTAGGGAAAAATAGGAAATTGGGTTTAGACAAGTTAGCTTTATTGGATGAGCTACCACCAGCTTCGGCTTGATGAACAAATGTGTGATTAATGCCACAAAGACAAGACATTTTTCACTAAATTGATTAAAATAAGATGCTGTTTTTCTCCAGATGTTCATTCACTGACATTTTTTATTTATAACGTCATAAAAAATTCTGCATGCAAAACTAGGCGTTTGAGGAGACTCGTTCGGTAAACTTAACCTTCAGTAGTTCTGACATTCAAACTTCATAACTCAACTAAAGGAGACAATGGAACCAAATCTGATCTCTTAAATCTTGCTTCTGGGAAATTCAGGATTGTGCTACCGAAGCAAAATACAATTATTCTGCAGTAATACAGAGTGGTACCCATTTCTTTGTGAATATAAAGCTATTTTATTCCCCACTATTTTCTGAAAATCATATTCCTTCAACCTGCCCATTTATAAATAATAATAAAAAAAATCCTTACATTTGATGTAGCACCTTATCACGTCATCGAGACGTCCCAAAGCACTTCACAGGATTTTTTGTAATGTGGATCAATTGTATTTTGCGGGCAAAAAATCAGAACTTTACACACACATACTGTGTTACACACCCAATATTGTTGGACACTAATCTCATTTAAAAGTCAGATAGTGAATTGGGCAGTTGTTAGGACTCGTGTGATCAACAATAAATAGTCAGCAATTGCTGAGAAAGATTAGTCAAAATATTATCCTAAAGAGGTACCATACCATATCCGTTATAAAAAGAAACAAGTCCTTGCTTTTGTGATCACATCTAACTACACAAGGAAAATTTTGAAAGAACCTTGGCCTTACTTCTCAGCTTTGGCATCTTATAATAATAGTTGCATCTGATATCGTGCCTTATCACGTAAGTGAAACATCTCTTTTCAAATAGTTTCTCTGCTACTCTCAAATTCTCATTATTTAGAAACAAACTGTAAGATACGAAGTCGTAATCTAGCTGACTGATTGTGAATAGCTGCTTCTTGTTTCAGCGCTGCTAATCATGAGAATGTACTGGCATGCTACCCTGGGTGAGGGGCACTATATAAATTGCAAATCGTTGTTGTTGTTATAAGCTTTGTCTCAAAGTGCTTCACAGGATGTTTTACTATCAAATGGATATTTGTAGGCAAATATGTCAGCGAATTTACATACAGGATTGTCTCACCAATAGCTATAAAATAAATGACCAATTTTACCTTCTGTATTCTACAAAGTCTGTGTCTTTTTAAGGTCCTCCTTGATTCACTGTGATGCACATCCATGCAAAGTGATGCACTTTATAAGAATGTATATTTGTTGCAAGAGTCCGGTCTTATAAGTATCAGGAATTACATTATTCCTCTGACGATATATTTCACACCTTAAATTGTGCAATTTTCCTACTACATTGTTGAAGATAGACAATTTTGAAAAAATATATGTTACACATTATCAATAAATTATTTCATCCTTTGGATGAGACACTGAAGTCCCATCTCCCCGTTCAGCTGCACGTTAAAGTTCCCGTGGCACTGTTCTTAAACAGAAAAGAACTTCTCCCAGGGTCCGAGCCAACAATCCCCAAATAAAATTGGTCACTCATGTCATGGTTGTTTGTGGGTCATTGCTGTGTCCAATTCTGCTGTGTTTGTCTACAAATACACGGTCACTCCATTTCACAATAAATCCTGTGAAGCTCTTTGAGACATCTTTCCGAAGCAATGAAGCGATATATCAAATGCGATGATGATTGTTAGCAGTAGCAGTAGTAATGCTGACACAAGAGCAGCTATGAGCAATCATTCAGATAGATGTTGTAGCTTTCTATTTGATACTTTGTCATGAGCACTGCAGCTGGAGCTAATGCTCAACCTGCATCTCAGGAACAGAAGAACCGTTGTGGCTGCAACTCAATATTCATTATCAATCCAAAACACCTTCATAGAATACCAGTGGTTGAGCAGTACATCTTGTACCACTCAGTGGAACATCTCCAACAGCATTGTTACTGGGAACGTCTCTGTCTTATAAGCAGAAGTTCAAATTCAAGTAACCTGCTGAATCAGAGGTATTGCATTGCACATTAGACTATAATGGATCTGCAACCTGCTCACTATCGTACTAGAATAACTTCCCATGTTTGTTCTTTGCTACCTGAACCAAGTTAGGGTTACATCTCTGCAGCACATTTATTTATTATAATTATCCCTCACTTACATCCTGTGCAGCTTTTAGGCTGAAAAAGTTTATTTTTATAGCACAACATGTTGAAATATCACCAAGTAGTATTACAATATTTATGGTCAAGTGTAGTGATTTATTGTTATTAAACACAGCAGCTATTTTGCATACAGGAAGATCCAGTATCCAGGAAAATCCTGGAGACAATATGGCCAATTTACCTGGAGGATTGTAGACCAGAGTAACAATCCTCCAGATAAACACTTTTTTTTTTTAAAAGTCATCGACCTGAAGAAGCAGACGGGACCTTGGTTTAGCGTCTCATCATAAGAACAGCACCTCCAGCTCTCTCTAATGGTTAAACACCCATCACCCAAAACTGTGACCTTTGGATGCAGAATTTACTAACTGAGAAAACTGTTTGTGCTAGGTGATACAAAATCAAATGATAATGAAACTCTTACTTTCACCAAACAAATTAACTGGTGTAAGAGGTATAGCAACAGTAGTTATCGTACTTTAATGGCAAAACCAGATAAAATCACACTCTTGTAACATTTTCCTTAAAATATAATATACTGTGACTGTCCAGCAGAGGGAGTTGACATGCTCGTAAAATATAGCACAGCCTAAGGTAACACAATTCAAATCATTTGATTTGGTTCCTTCAATCTGCAAACTATTTTTTACAAATCAATTTTGATATTTAGGTTTTGATTTTCAAAATATTTGCAAATAAAGCTACTAAATAAAAACCCAAGTTGGAAACTATGTGCTAAAAATACTACTATAACAATACAATTTCTGATTTGCCCCAATGCCTATTTAGAAACAGCAGATAAAGAAATGAATCTGTATACAAAATAAGTTGAACCAACTCAAAAAATTGTAAGCTGGAAAGTTGCAAGACTTGATATGGGGCTTGATCCAACAAACTCCTGACATGGTTCTGCCAACTGAAACAGGCTGACATTTATGAGAGTTATACTGGGGGGGCGGGGGGGAGAGAGACGGGCACATTATAATGGTTTGCCCTGTATCTTCTCAGTTCCACTGAAACTAGTGAACACGTTTTACGCATCAACATACAAGAGGATGAGGGCAAGAAAACCAACATAGAAATGTAGTGCTCCTCATTCTTCAAATGTTTCCTCCACATTTATTTTGTAAGCTTGCTACGTGCATGACTTGGGGAGGGGTGGGGAGGAATCACTATGATTAGTTACATGTTTTAACCTATTTCACCTATATGAATACTCCTCTTGCCCACAAACCGTACATTCAGTTATTTTTAAAAATAAAGAGCTGTCAGTCTAGCTCAGTCGGTAGCACTCTCTCTGGTTCAGAAGGTTGGGAACAACTTTAGTGAACTCATCACTGAAATGTGGTACTCCATCACTCCAGTGCAGTGATGGGGCAGTGCTGCATAATCAAGAGTGTCATGCTTCAGGTGATATATTAACATGCTGTCTGTCTGGTGGATGTGAAAGACCTTACGGCACTATTGACAAAGAAAAGGTAGTTTTCTCCCTGTGCCTGGTCAATAATCCTCCAGATAAAAATGGTTCTTCGCTTCATGGCTCATCAGGGGACACTATTGTGTGCATTTTGACTGTTGCTTTAGCCTACAACTACAACAGTCACTACACTTAAAAGAAACTTTGTGAAGCACTTGGCGATGTTGATGTTACAAGCACTATTCCAAATACAAAGATTACTCTATTATTCAAACATAGTAGAGAAAACCAGCAATTATTTCATTACTCATGTTTGTGTGCATTTTTTCTGCACAAGATGGGGGTAGTCTGATAAACAATGCTCATGTATGCAACATTCGTGAATTTATTAGTGCTCCAAAGTACTACTCACACCAGTAATTCCCCACATAATTAGGTAATGCAATATCTTGAGGATGGGGAGGATGGTGTAAAAGCAGAAAGATTTTGAGCAGAAGTGAGGTTTCCCACTGTAACAGTAAGCAACAATCGGGAGGGTTTGAGCGGAAATAATAGTAACCAAAAGAAAAAGGGATGAGAGCAAAGGTCAGAGTATAAAAAGTGATAAAGATAACATAAATACTCCGGGAAGCTAAAAGTTATAGGAAGTAATAACAAAAAGTGTGAGAAAAACACCATTAGGACATACGGGGCAAAGTCCAGACATCTACCCAAGTAAAAGTTCTGTTCACAAATGCAAGTAGCATAAGAAATAAAACACGTAAGCGAGAAGCACAAATTCAGCTTAAAGGTTATGATGTAGTAACTATTACAGAGACCAGGCTACCAGCTGGACATGACTGGGAGCTTAATATTTCAGGCTACAAGGTCTTTAGAAAGGACAGAGAAATTGGGAAAGGAGAAAGAGCAGCAAATATTGATAAAGGACACAATTACAACAGTAGAAAGGATTTCAGTAAAGGGTGATCAGGCAGAGAAAACACTATGGGTAGAATTAAGGAACAAAGAATGTAAGATTCTGGTAAGAGTTGTCCACAGACCAGGTGACTGATGTTGTGGGGTATGTATAAATACGGAGATCAGGATAGCATGTATCAAAAGCAATGTGATTATAATGTGAGATTTTAATTTTCACATGGTCTGAATAGCTCAAGTAGTAAAGGCAACAAATTTCTAGAATGTATTTGGGACAGATTTCTGAAACAATATGTTTTAGAACCAACAAGGGAACAGGCCACGTCCAGGCAGATTTTTGTTAGGTAAAGGTATCTGTCAAGGGATATAGAGCAAAGGCCGATAAATGGAGTTGAAGTACAGATCAGCCATGATTAAATAGAATGGCAGAGCAGGCCCAAGAGGCTGAATTTACTACTCCTGTTTTTATGTTCCGAATTGGCGAGGAGAAACCTCTCAGCAGAAGAATACATGAAACTGAGAAAAAAAACGAATTCATTGTAAGATTCTACCAATATACTTATTGATTTGTAATTATTTTCCAAAATCGATATTGGTTCCATGTGGATGAAAAAAGCAAGTTACTGCAAATCACAGAAATTGCAGAATGCAGCACAGCAAGGTCCTAGCTCAAAATACAGACATGTTTCATAAGTTTCATCTTTACTGTTTTTCTGAACTTAAAAGATGATGTGGACCATGTTTCCTCTTCGACTATTTTAGGTTGTTTTTATTCAGTGCAGAATTTAACATGGGAAGATGAAGATTTATGGGAATGATTATGTTTAATCATTAGCAAAGACACTGAATCAGCTATTCTGCACTGGATCAATGTAAATTCTTATAGCTTTCTTCAACCTGTTCTGGAGAGACGAACAAAATTTGCATCAAGAAAATTGGTGAAGATGCATCTTCTGCCTCATACTTATAAAAATAATCTTTATGAACTTATAGATTTACTTTAAGATGAAAAATGCTTAATAGCTATATAAAATCCAATAGTACATCGCAGTCAAGGTAATGAGATTTCACTACAGATACACTAGAGCATTAGAAAACAACAATGTAGAAATTAAGCCAGTTATGTAAATGTGTTTACTTGGATAGCACATCTGCCTAAGGGAGCTATTGTCTACTTCACAGTAAATTTACTGACTAGGCAATAAGAAAGTATTGTGCCATGGTCAGTAAATCTAATGACAAACTTGTATGAGTTGCTACCACTGCCACTGAGAGAATAGGAATACGGTTTGAGCATCAATAGGAAACAGGCTTCCAACCTCAAATCGGCTATGAGGTAAGGTAGAAGATGTGTTTTTTAGGAAGATGTCGTATATGAAGTCATGAGAATAATGATATGATCATAGCTAGTGCCTTTCAACTTGTATTCCACTTATTAACAATTTATATTTATATAGCACTCTTCACAAAGGGCAACATCTCAGAGCCCTCAAGGCAAATGCAGCAGCCATTTTGTCCGAAACAAAGACCCACACCAACAACCATTAAGTGAATGAACAACTTACTTGGAGGCCAGGACACCAGAAGAAACGCTTATCTCTATAATGGTTGGCAATGGTGTCGGCATTAATGCAGATTTGTTGACTGTTCCTCTTGGATGAGAATGGTACAGGTGCAAAAAATCCCCCAAAAAGTGAATGATGACAACACTCTTAAAAAAATTAAAATCAGATCTGTTCTTCTTAGGAGCTCATTTTACTCAGGCAACTTGGCCTACAGTGTACTGTTAGGAAGATTAAAGATCTGTTCTTTTTTCAACAGGATGATGAGCAATTGGGGAAAGAGTGAGAAGTACAGTCTTAACGATTAATCTCAGATATGGGCCTCCTATTAAATGGATGAAAAATGAGTCGAGCGAGTACAATGTGACCGGTATCCCAAAACAGATGAGGGAACATTTGATGTAGTTTGAAGGTAATCATTTGAAGGTAGTTCAATGGCGAAATAGTTGAGATGGAGAACGATTACAGTTACAGGCTACTCTTCTGACTTCCCTCCAATTGAGTCAGGTCATCTAAGAGCATAATTATCCAGCTAATATACAACTGGCAAAATATTACTGTGCCTAAGCAGGAGGGAACAAAGTATGATTATGGCATTTGATAAAAGTTATTTGCATCAATAATGTCTTCTGATCTCAATGGGAATTTAATAATATTGCTTGCATGTGATATAGCACCTATAACATCGAAATGCCACAAAGCATTTCACAGGCAATTGCTGGCAGGTGCATGTCTATGTAATTGTAGGCACCTAATTTGTACAAAGCAATGTCCCCAAATGACTATGAAGTGAATGATTCATTTATTTGGGGGATTATTGACCAAGACACTGGGAGAAACTCTTGCCTGCTTTTGAGTAGTATTATGGGATTCTTAACATACAGCTGAACAGGTACACAATACCTCAGTTTAAGGTCTCATCCAAAGTACAGCAAGTCTGAGAATTAAGTCCTGCAATGCTCAGAGTCGCTCACCTGCGTGAAGGGCGCTATATAAATGAAAGTTATTGTTGTCTATCCCCATCATTGCCTTGGAATACTGTAAACATGCCTGGCTCGGGAACTCGACATTTGATGCCAGTCTCAGTAGTCCAGTTGCTAAGCCAGACAGGTAAGTAGTGCTCTAGGGCACTGCTAATAACAGCATCTGGCTCATCGGCAGCGAATGAGAAAATCAATGACTGCTTTGAAATACCTCCTGGCTATGAGCAGGAATGTGGGAACAGGCCACTTAACCCCCTTCTCAGACACAATGAGTTGCGTATCTGTATAGATTACATACCCTCAAGCATAATACCCACACAAAATCAAATCACAGTAATACTGCTGGTTTGCACTGTGGAAGGAATGAAAACGATTAGGAAATTAGGGTGATATGACAGTGTTGTTTTGGAAATACCATTACTAGTTGAGTTCAAAACCTTCAGGGGAAAACAAAAACATGAAAGTTATAAATGTAAAAATATCTATGTCTAAATGATTTGTTGTAGGAGCAGTTAGGACAAAACTGTTCTTAGGACAAAAATTATAGCAATAAACTTCTACGTAGGTGAGTGACAAACTAAATTTTCAAAATGTTTGACTCGCAAACTTCCATTTTGCTCTATGATTGCTGATGGAACAAGCCCCACACACACTATATTCGACAAATTCATAATTACCATTTAAAACAATAAGAACTTTCTTCCATTGTGTATTACCAACTTTCGGCGTCTGACAGAATAAAATTTTGTGCTTATCACACACAAATATGCGGTCAAGGACAAACTTTGTAATACGAGAATGGGTCAGGTTCCGCAACGAGGCATTTCTGCACATATTCTTGAGTAGGTTGAGACGTTCAGTATGTATTGATTCCCAGTGATCTCCCACTTCATCCAGTATGCTTTGAGAAGCCTGAAGAGAAAAAAATCTAAATTTTAAACGTATTTCAAATAAAAGTAAACAATAAAACATCTTTTTAAGAATTTCACACCATTTACAAACAACAGCTTGCATATATATATAGCTTCCCTCACGGGGGTACAGTCTTGGAGCGCTTAAGGAGGGGACAGGGTGGAGGGATTGACACATTGCTTCAGAGATTTGAGTAATGGCTGAAAGCACAGCCACCAATGGTGGAGAGAAGGGGATGAAGGATGTATAGAAGGACGGAGTCAGCTGAGCGAAGGGGCAGGTAGTGGAGTGGGATGTAAACAGCCGGTCCGAGAGGTAGGGAAGTGATAACACATAAATTGATTTGAAAGTAAGTATGAGAATGTTGAAATTGATCTGTTCTGCAACAGAAAACCAGTGAAGAAGGATTGGGATGATCGGGGTTTGGAGTTTGGTACGGGTGAGAATATAGGCAGAATTTAGATCAGTTGGATTTTGTGAGTTGTGGAGCTGGGGAGACCAGCAAGCAGGCTGTGGGAAAAATCGTGGCAGCAGGTAATAAACTAATAAATGGCCTCCTTCTGTACTGTAAATTTCTATGATTCTATAAACTATTTTTTTGATTGGAATGACCATTCAAATCCAAAATTCAATACCATAAAAGCCAGTCGGATATGGGTTACCTACAAGCAATGACATAAATCAATAAAAGTATTATTAAAGCAATATAATTACATACAACTATCAAATTGTGCAAAAATCATGTTTACAACATCCTCTCCCTGTTTTTATGATTTTTAAAAAATGCGTATATGCTGGAATCAAGCTCTATACATCATTATTAAAATTTGATTTATTTATTGTAGCGATCCCCTTCGCTTTATAGGACTACAGGAATTTAACTCTAAGTCTGTTTACTTTTTCCTCAGTTTATACTTCCAGTTCCTTTCTCCTTTTTTGTTTGAGTAAGAAACAATAACCACTTAAAATTTTAACAAAACAGGAATGTAAAATAAAACAGCAAACAATCTAGACTTGCAGTAGAGGGCCCATTATGCCTTTATTTAAATTCAAAGCAACAGCTACAAACAGGACTGAATTACAGAATATCTATTCTTTCTCAGGAAACACTGATCAGCAGCTTGGAGGCAGCATCATTTCTATAGCTATTGCAGGAGGAAGCTATTCAATTTTGATACTAACAGTGGTGCTATCAAAATTCATTATTTGGCAAAACTGATGCTGCAAATGAAGCTGATGATCTGGGTTATATTTTAAACTTGCAGCCAAATTACACAATTAAATATTGTACTTGGGAACGAACAGAAAGTGCTTTTTAATCAGGTATCTTGAGTACACCACAATTCAACACAACTTGCTGTGCCCAGAATTTATGACCTGCGCTACTTAAGTGATGATTTAGTGTAGAAAAACAGCGAATGCTTTCAGGAAATGTGTTTATTCAAAATTCACACTCCACACACTTTTCACAGCAAAGTTAATTTTGCACAGGATTATAATTTCAAATAGAATTCCATAAATATTGTAATATTACAGCTCAATATTACAATATTGCAGTGAACAATAACCGCTTTCCAAATATTAATAGCTACTATCAAACCTCAGTTTAATAGAATCTATAAATTCTCCTTTAATAAAAATATCTACCTATCCGCTGCGTTCAACACAGTCGATCACCCCATCATTCTCCACTATCTCTCCTCCCTCATTCACCTTATTGGGACTGCACTCGCATGGTTCAGGTGCTACTGAACAAACCTCCAACAATACATATTGGCAAATGGCTTTTCCACCCGCCCCCCGGTCACCTGCGGGGTACTCCAAGGCTCCATCCTTGGCCCCCTTCTTTTTCTCATCTACAAAAACAACTTGCACGTATATAGCGTCCTCCACGCAGGGTATCGTCTCAGAGCGCTTAACAGTGACGGAGCCTGACTCCGAGACAGGGGGAGGTGGCCATAAGCACGGTCGAACAGGAAAGTTTTTGGGTAGGACTTGAAAAAGGGGAGAGAGGGTGCAAGGCAGAGGGATTGAGGGAGAGTGTTCCAGAGTTTGGGGGCGTAGTGACTGAAAGCGCAACCTCTGATGGTGGGGTGGAGGATGCAAGGGACGATCAGGAGGCCTGTGCCAGTCGAGCAGAGGTGCCGGGTGGTGGATTGGGGAATGAGGAGGTCGGAGAGGTAGGGAGCTGCCAGGAAATGAATGGATTTGAACATGAGAGTGAGGATCTTGAAGTCGATCCATTCGGTGATGGGGAGCCAGTGAAGTCTGGCCAGAACTAGTGAGATGTGGGTATGGAGTTTGGTCCGGGTAAGTATGCGGGCGGCAGAGTTCTGAATGGCTGGATTGTGTGAATGGTGGAGCTGGGGAGACCAGTAAGAAGTGCATAGAGTAATCCAAGCAGGAGGTTACAAACGCATGCATGAGGGTTTCGGCTGCAATTGGGGTAAGATACGATCGGAGGCGGGCAATGTGGCGGAGGTGGAAGAAGATGGTCCTGTACAAGGATCGGATGTGGGGGAGGAAGGACAGCTGGGGGTCGAACTGGACGCCTAGGTTGCGCACTGGTTCGGTGAGTCTGAGGAACAGCCCAGGGAGGTGGAGGAGTTCAGATCCGCAGGAATGAAGACGTTGAGCGGAGCCAAGGAGTATGGCTTCCGTCTTGAAGTTTACAATCATCCAGGCCTTGATGTCTGCCAGACAAGCTGATAGAACGTGCTCTCTCTTGGCGATGTCATCCGCAGACGTAGGATCAATTTCCACATGTTTATGGATGACACCCAAATATACTTCACCTCCTCCAGCTGCGACTTTCAGTTCACTGATGCCTTGTCAGCCTGTTTGACAGACATCAAGACCTGGATGAGTGCAAATTTCCTGCAGCCGAATGTTGGCAAGATGAAAGCCACACACTATCAAAACCCCTCATGATTTTGAACATCTTTGTTAAATCTCACTTTAACCTTCTCTGCTCTAAGGAGAACAATCCCAGCTTCTCTAGTCTCTCCACATAACTAAAGTTCCTCATCCCTGATACCATTTTGTTTGATTTACACCGGGGTTAACCGGTGTCCGGCAAAAGTGGATTCCACTGTATTTTTAATTGCAACCATTTGCAATTATGTTTCACAACAAAAGCACTTCTGTAATATTTTCCCCACAACATGGTCAATTCACTTTACAGTATATTCTGTGAAGCGCTTTGAGAAGTTTCAAAGACGTGATAAGGCGCTATATCAAATGCAAGAATTATTATAAATACAGCTCTAAAGCTGTGAATTGAGTATGTGAATATCCCCGTGGGGGGTGGGGGGGGGGTAGAGATAAACGGTGTCTCCTTGGAGCTCAGCTCAATCCTCTATAGCAGTCTCCGTGGTGTGGTTCCTGATTCATACAAGTCTGCAGTACTTCAGGACACTGCTGATGACAGACCATCCAGCCTGGCTCATATAATAATAATCCTTGCATTTGATATAGTGCCTTATCACGTCTTCAAGACGTCTCAAAGTGCTTCACAGAATATACTGTAAAGTGAATTGACTGTGTATTTTGTGGATGAAACGCAGCAGCCAACTGTGCATAGCAGTGTTCCACAAACAATCCTGGATTGAGTGACCAAATTATTATTATTAATATTATTATTTTGAAGAAATTTCAAAGAATTGAAGTGTTATAGGTTCAACTGGGATACGTAGATATTGCCTGGCTAGTAATAAAAATGATTCACTGTCCAAGTGAATTCCATAGAGTTTCTGTCCGTAAAATGTCTGGAAGCAGGAAACTCAATTACAATCACTTTCCAGTTAATTACTACAATTTTGAAGTTAGTTTTTTTTAAAAGCATTTAGAGGTATTTAAAGAGTCAAGAAGCAACTTAGGATATGCAACACAATCATTTCAACACAGGTAAATGTTTGTTCAACAAGGCAAGGATATTTTGTGCATCAGCATTTGTGGAGAGGTACTGTATTTAAACTGGCCGTAAAGCTCGGAAATAAATGTACTTGACTATTTATTACCGTATTTGAGAGAGCAAGATTTTGTCTAGGGCTTGTAGAACAAGTAAAGGATACTTGCATCCCATCAGTTAATAATAACAATCCTTGCCTTTGATATATTGCCTTATCACGTCTTCATGACATCTCAAAGCTCTTCACAGAATATACTATAAAATGTAGTGACTGTATATTCTATATATATGTATATGTATATATATATGTATATCCCGACGTGAAAAGCGCTATATCAAATGCAATGATTATTATTATTATTATTATTATTATTATTCTGTGGGACAAAACGTTAACAAGTATATAGCCTCGGGGGAATATCTAGACATGACTCCTTTAAACACCTTACAGTATAAACACAACCAGCTGAGCTAAAGAGCTCTCTCCAGAGCCGGCAAATATCTACATGACAATCTGAACACAGCTGAATAGCCAAGACACTTTCATTTCAGTGCTAACAGAGTTCATAGTGATAGGTTCCCTCTGTTGAGATAATGTTGGGAACAGCACAAAACTCTGGGACACAAAAACTAATTTCTATTGTCCCTGACTTTCTTGTAATCCTTATCATTGGTCAAGCATACAATTCGGAACAGCATTACTGCAGAGTTCCTCCCTGCTCACTGCTCATTCTGTTGGCCCTCTGTTACGCCAGACACAGCTCCTTGGCCCTTGTTGACATCACTGATGCAGAACCATTGGCCATCCACCTTCTCCTTCCACAAGCTAACCTTATTGTCCCCTCCTGAGACAGCTAAAATATTCCCAGTGATGGACCAGCTCGTGAACTTGTGCAATAATTTGTGCATCCATGCATTTCCGTCAGGATCATCACACGTCCAAACAAAAACTCTGCCATCCTGGGAGCAGTATAGTGCTTGTGGGAAGCCCAATCGATGGGGCCCAGGTAACATCTTTAACCTGTATCGGCAAGACTGGGACGAATCAATGGGAGCGAAGATTCTTGTAGATCAGATTAAGATGTCAGCA